GGTGAGATGTCTATCTTTAAAAAAAGTGGGCAAACAAAGGGGTCTTTTGATGGAAAGAAACTACCCCATGATGAATTCAACCAAGCAGTTTTGTATATTCTTCAAAATTGTGAAGAGGTTTCACCTTTCATAGAGTAAGTTTCTTATTATTCAGATTTAATTTCACATCAAGATATTTTAATTAACCTTAACTAACACAAAATGTAGGGAATACATGAGAGAGATTGAAATACAAGGTTCAACGAGACCTCATGGAATGCTGAATAATGATTTTATTGATTGGTTTCGTGCACGTGTAAGAATTTACGAACAACACTTAATTAACTATTATTATTGACATCTAAGTATGAACAAGTCTTATTTTTTTTTGTAGATATTAGTACTAGCTTCACAAGGACGCACAACTGATGAGCTCATAAGCTTAGTTGTAGGTCCAAAACCATTGGTGTATCGATATTCAATATTTATGGTGAATGGATTTAGGTTCCAAACAAAAGAGCTTGTGAGAAAAACACAGAACAGTGGAGTTCTTGTGAGATGAGATGATTCAAACTCTAATAAGGAGTATTATGGTGTATTAGAGGACATATACGAGTTACACTACGTTGGAAATAGAAAAGTTCATCTATTCAAGTGTCACTGATGGGATGTGGCTCGCCTAGGAAGATGATATAAGATTGACAAATATGGTTTTACAAGTGTGAATGCTCATTGTGCCTTAAATACAAATGAGCCATTTGTGTTGGCATCTCAGTCTGAACAAGTCTTCTATTTGAAAGACTTGATTGACAAAGATTGGCTTGTTGTTGTAAAGACAAATCCTCGAGATCTTTTTAATATGCCTGAAGTTGAAGAAGCAGTAATGAATGAAGAAGCTTATCAACAAGAGGAAGTGGAAGGTAATATTTTGTGTCCCAATGACCATGAACCTGATATTCATGTGTCTTTATACAAGGATGATGTTGAACCACAAATTGTTTTGCGTACCAATGATCAAGAAAATGAGGAAGATAATTTCATTAATGACAATCACACAGATGTATCTGGGAGTGAAGAAATCGAATAAGAGTTACTAGATGATGATGATGGAGAAGACAGTGATGAATACTTTTGATGATTGAGAAACAAAGACTACTGAAATAGATGTTTAACTCTTGTTTTGATAAGTTCTCTATATTTTGTTCTTATTGGGCTGACATGAAATTAATTCATGGCATTTGTAGCTTTAACTTTGTAAATAGAATCAGCGTTTTAAGTAGAATCAATGATTTACATTTCCATCAATGAAACAACAGTACTTGTTAGTAAAGTGTTCCATATTTTTTACTTGTTTAATATAATACTCTGCTTTATGAATTGATATTTTCCTTGGCAGGTAGATATAATAAGCTTTAATTTCTTATTCTGATACTTCTCTTTTTATATCTAATGTTCCAGGAAATGAAAGGAATTGGTCGAGGACGTGGACGAGGTAAAGGTAATAGTGGAAGAGATGGTACAAGAGGTGGACATGGAAATTTTTGAGAACGTGAGTGTTTTGGTACTACATCTTAGCCACCAATACAACATATAAGAGTTGCTGAAGTATCATTGGAGACAGGACAGACACCTAACCCAAGTCAAGGAAGTCTACAGGCGGAACAAATATCAAGTGATCCTCTCCAAAAAACATCTCCAGGGGCACAATCATTAAGAAATCTAGAAGAAAGTATTCATCCCTTCCTAGAGGTTGAAATTGGTGCAGGTTAGTTCACGTACCTCCCTAATAGATGGACTCAATTGCTTAGTATCAAGCAACTTCAGCACATGATGAGTTCAATTGGTTCAACACAGTTGACTGCATGATGTTGATTTTGGTTCTCCTTTGATACTTATTCTTTTTGCAAGTATATTAGGTGCAGTAATACGAGTGTATATCAGTTTTGATCGGGAATGTAGAGCTAGTTATTGCTTCATTCTTGTTTACGAGTGTAACCATGTTACATCGATGAATCTCTAGCAGAAAACAAAGTTTGTTAAAAGTTCTAATCTATATAACGATTGAGTGTTGTTTGCTGTGTTAACTTTGTAACAAAATTTCAAAAGACTCAAAGCCCTTTATGACAACAATTTGGGGTCACTGGTTTATACTGGTGAAGTAACTATGAAAACTAGTATACATTATGAAGCAATAGAATGAATATTCACTGATACGTTTCTTGTACTGATAATTTATTCTTTGCAGTTTCTCGCATCAATAGAAAGAGATGAAGAGGGAAATACAAATCTAAAACTGTTGATATTAAAACTAAGTATGGAGGAAAAATCAAAGTAATCATTCTAGATGATATTGATAGAGCTGTGGGTTTTGGGGCTAGAGATATTGTTAATTACGCAGGCTTGATCATGAGGAACAGTATCTCATTTCAAGATGGAAATTGGCAGAATATTGTTTCAAAACATGGAGAAGCAATGTGGTATAAGGTCAAGGTAATAAATCACTTTCAAAGTTGTATTTCTTTTATATTACTTGAATTATCAAATTTAATGTTACAATTTGTTCAGGACAAATTTGAAGTTTCTGGTGGGCTGCGAGCACATAAGTTACAAGGCTTTGTGATAAGCACTATGCAAAGACTCTTTAGAGCTTGGAAAGCTCGATTACATAATCACTATTGTGCCTATAGTACGGATGAAGACAAATTGTCTAATCGTCCTGAGGATGTTGAGTTGGAGGACTGGAAATACCTAGTTAAGTATTTTGGCAGTGAGAAATTCAAGGTAATTTAATTAATAACAAGAGTTATTGAATTTAGAAAATACCTAATGTGGTCGAATGCTAGTTTTCTCTTTGAATAAATATATTCTGATATATTGCAGATTATCAGTGAAAGAACAAAAACAATAGAGAAAAACAAATAACTAAGCATTCTTGTGGTACAATATCATTTGCAGAAGTAGAGGACTCTACGGTGAAAATACATTTTTCTCCTATTACTACATATACGTGTTCTTGTGTGTTTTCCTTATTGAATTATATTGCAAAGAGATCCACTATCGGGAGAAAAAGACTCACCAGATAAAGTCTGGGAGATCCAACACACACGTAAAAGTGCTAGCGGAGAACGTGTATGGTTGGATCCACAATCCCAATAGATTCATGTAATTTTCTAAAATCATTGCCTTACTATCTTACTGACTTACTACATGTTAGTTTCAATATGTCCATTATGTTTTGATGTAACTGGTACATATTATTATAGAGCCAGCTCAAACAACTTGTTGTTGAACAACAATCAGAAGAGATCGAAAATCCCATGACTAGGGATGAGATTTTATCCTTAGTTCTCGGTGAGAGATCATGCTATGTTCGCGGAAAAGGATATGGGAAAAATCCTCCTAAAAAAGCTCAAATACAACAGGCAGACATAGAGGCTAGTGTGTCTTCAGCAATGGAAAGTATGCGTCAAGAGATGCAAGCTGATATGGAACGAAAGCTACAAGAAGAACGTGAACACATGGCGGCAGATTTAAAAAGGAGTATGGAAGAAGATCTGACAAAAAAATTGGAAGAGGAGCGTGAACACATGAAAGGTGAAGTTGACAAAATGTTCCAAGAACAAATGGCCGCTGTCATGACTAGGATGCAACAGGTACTTTATCTTTTTCTTCTTAACAATTCTTTTTATTCTTTGACAAGTTCTTCTTTCTTACTTATTATAGTTATTGGCTTGTTCTTTAAATCTGATTGTGAATAACGTATACAAAGAGTTTGATGAAATTATTGACATAAATACGAGTTAATCTTCTAGTGGAAGTTTGAAAATACAGGAATGTTTTCTTTGTTTGCTAATGCCTTGTTACATGCTAGTTGTTTTTCATACTGTGTCGTAGTTGAACTAAATTTACTTGTTGTCCTATTATTTTGAGAAACGTGGATTGATTCCAGCTGTTGCAAGCAGTGAACTATTGTTTAGGCACTGCCTTTGTTGGATTGCCTTTTTTATTTACTGGAACTTGAGGATCAACCTGTGGTGGAGTTGCAGTAATCTCTTTTCCAGATTTCTTTGCAATATTCATTTGCTTTTCTCCTTGTTCCTGTTCCTGCAGACTCATTTTTGTGACAGCTTGAGTGCTGCTAGCATTTGTGTTTCCCTTGCCCTTGGTTAGTTCCTGCACATGTAGATCAGTATATGGATTGTGTGTAGGAATAGAGATTATACGTGCTTGTGAAGTATGTTGTTGATTAGCTTGCTTAGTGAGAATCTTTGGTAAATGCTGCTGGTTAGTGTTCTTTTTTCTTTGTGTTTGCTAGTGATCCTCCTGCTGCTTTCCTCTTGTGTCCAGGTCCTTTTGCTATCTATTCTTATTAGCCTCTTTTTGACCTGGTTCTTTCTATACCTGTGACTGCTGAGGAATGGTGTCAAATTCTTTTTTGTTTTTGGCTTTTTCATTTTCTATTTCCTTTCTTTTTTATGGTTTTCATCTCTTTGTTTTATCATACAATTATGATCTAAATGACCTTGATGTTTACAGTAAAAGCAATAGTCAGGATATAGGGACATCACTCTTAGCCTGATTATATCTAAGACGATCAGCATAAGTCTGTACTAATGTATAAGGAACATGTTCAGCAATCTGATCTTTTTTGGGAGGATAGAGAGGCTTTACTTGAGGTTGTTCAATTTTTTCATTAGATGCATTAGACTTAGGAGCCTGTCTTTCAATGTTGCTGGAAATTTTGGGAGAATGAAATATGCAAATAAGACACTTATCTTTTCCTATGTGATCTATATCACCTCTTCAATTATTTGAATTCGAAAGTGATTGTGTTTTTTCTAATTACAGGGACAAATTTCTTAAACAATGGGGCCAATCTAAAAGAAGTTTGAAGGCCTGCAATGGAAGTTTTTGCTTTTTGACCATATGTATATGCATATACAATTGAATTTTTATTTTATTTATCACATGCATGTAAATGGATACAACATTAATGGAAGTACTATTATGTAGTTGAATTTTTTGTATTTATAATATTTTCATTTTGTGAAATACTTTAGATGCTCTTAATAGCTATATATTAAATTTAGAGAATCTGATTTATAGTTCTTATTGTTACTATTGTTGATTAGTGGTAAATATTTAGTAATAAAATAAATGTTGCAACAAATGTTATAGTAGTTTTTGTGGCGACTTGCATTGCTATTAAAAGTAGCCTTTTGCAACGGAAAAAGGGTTTCCACTGATAGTTAATATATTTTTGTAGCGGGAGGAGTCGCTACTAAATACCTTTATTTAGAGGAGACATGATCAGCTCGCAAGATAATTTATCAGTTTTGTGGCAGCAAAGTTGCCACTGAACGTCGTGTTTTAGAGGCGACAATAACTCGTTGCAGATAATTATAGGTTTTTGTGGCAGCAAAGTTGCCACTAAAAATCGTTATTTAGTGGCGACTAGGCCAAATATGAGTATTGTAACTTTGGTTTTGGTGGCATAGTTATTTACATATTGTGACGCTTTTTGTCACCACAAATACTCTTTTATAGTAGTGACTTTCATTTGTCGTCACAAAAAACCTTTAGTTATGGAAGTACTACCAACGGGGAAGTAGTCGCTACTATATATCATTAGTGGCGACTTTATGACCTTTTGTGGCGACATTTTGCGCTACAATAAACATTGTTTCTTGTAGTGGGCGGCGGCGGTGACGACTTTCTCTTGTGAAATTTGGCCATTTCACCATGGGAATGGAGGAAGATGTACGGTGGACTCCCAAATTTTAGTTTGAAGAAAAAAAAATTAAAATTTTATTATATTAGTACCTTTAATTTAATAATATTGGTTATTTAAAAAAAAAAAATTAATGAAGATTAATATGACATGTTATTAATTTATATGACATGAATTTGATATGTCATCTATTTAAGGGAGAGTGAACTACACACACGTAAAAGGGGTTTAAAAATCTTCTTTTGATTGAATCTAAGGATCCATTTGATAAATGGTTAAGTAGAAGGGTCCATAATACAAACGCGTAAAAGTATAAGGGTCTACTAGACCATTTCGCCTAATTATTATATGAAGATATAAATGCTTTTTAAAAGTAATGATATGAATTATAAATTTTATTCACATATGAAATAATTGGTTAGTAAATATATATATATATATATATATATATATATATATATGCGTGTTGTTTTACAGATATGCGGGTTGTTTTACAGAATATAAACTTGTGGATCAACTTTTGTATTTGAAAAATCTCAAATCATGATTTTTACATAATTTGAAATTTCAGAAATCAGCATGATATTGCAGGTCCAAATCCTAATTTCATATCACGATTTCATATAAATATAAACAGTAAAATTGATATAATTTATTCACGAGCACACACAAACCAAAAGGTCTTACGAGTGCTTAATGCTTTGGTTGTGAAGTCGAAGTTAGAGTCCATTGAAGCCTTACAATGACTGTTTGAATCGTTTTTTACTCTTTCCTTTATACATTTTGACATCTGACTTTTTTGCTTATCTTTTCTTTATTTTTTTCCACTTTCCTATTATACTAGTTATTAGGTTCCCGCGCCAGCGCGGGCCCAATGTATATTATTTCCTCCGTCTCATTTTATGTGAGGTAGTTTGATTCGCCACGGAGTTTAAAAAAGAAATGAAGACTTTTAAAATTTGTGGTCCAAAATGAATGATATAAATTTGTATGACTGTAAATTATTTCATTAAGGGTAAAATAAATATTTTATAATCAAATTGTTACTTAATATAGAAATGTGACATTCTTTTGGGACTGACTAAAAAGGAAAGTAAATAACATAAATTGGGAGTAGTTCTTTGTTTCAATTTATGTGACACCGATGAAATTTGGAGAGTTATATAATTTTTTGTATGTGATTTTGTTAAATATATTTTGAAGTTGTTAATTTATTGTGATTTATAGCACTTCTTATATCATTTTCAAATAATATATATTACTCTTTCTGTTCCATTTTATGTGACGTAGGTACTTTTACGAAACTCAACTAAATTTCTTATATGATTCTTAAATATTTTTAGTTGTTATTTTACTTTAATTTACGTTACTTTTTATGTTATTTTCAAACAAACTTCTTATGTTTCAATATGGAATTAAAGAGTCAATAAAATTTCTTTTATGATTTTTAATTATGTTTTTTTAATATCTTATATTATTACATTGTGATTTTAAGTACTTTTTATGTAATTTTTAAATCTAGAACAAATTAAAAGAAAAACAAGGAAAAATTTAAATGAAGAAAGTACTAAAATTTTCAAATAATCATATTTCTATATTAAAATGTTAAAAACTTTAAAACTCCACATATATGCAGAAAATCATATACGGAAGACAAAATAATTTTTAAAATATATATTAAAGCTCTTTCTAATAATATCACATATTTATTCTATTTTTCAAATAATATATATTTCTCACTCAATCTCAATTACGCAGTACATATGAAATTTCGAGAGTTAATCAAATTCTTAGTACTATTTTAAACTATATTTTAGTACTATTTATATAATTTTCAAATAATATATGTTACTACTCTATTATATTATGCAATACATGTGAAATTTCAAGAATTAACCAAAATTTTAATATTTTAAATTGATTTTTAGTACTATTTTTGTAGTAAATAGAGGAAGTTGAAGAAGAAGGGCAAATCGGTCAATTGACTGACTAACCCTAAGCTCCTAAACATTCTCACTTCTAAATGGAAGCACGGGCACAATATCCGTTAAATTGTTAATTATTATGATTTATAATATTTTTTACATTATTTTCAAATAATATATGTTATGTATTTTTAAATACTTTAAGTTGTGATTAATAATATTCTTAACGTAATTTCAAATAATATATGTTACTCCATTTGTCCCAATTTATGTGACACATGTGAAATTTTGAGAGTTAATATGTTTTTCAAATATTGTAAGTTGTTAACTATTGTGGTTTATGGTATTCTTAATGTAATTTTTCAAATAATATATGTTATTCCCTTCGTCTTAATTATACAATTCGCGTAAAATTTTGAGAGTTAATCGAATTTGTAATATTTTAAATTTATTTTTTAGTACTATTTAAAAAGGAAAAAATTAAAATATAATGAAAGAGGAGTGTATAAAAGTAGGTGGGCCATATTTGTGATAGGTGGGCCATCTTCAAAAACCAAATATAAAAGTAGGTGGGCCATCTTGGTGCCACGTGTCGAAAGAAGAGTGAATTTTATTCACTCTTCTTATATAGTAAAATATTTAAAAAAGAAATAATAAATGTAATTTCCAATTTAAAAGAAGTATTGTCTATATCACCTCTTTAAGACCATAATTTTAAAACATATAAAATAAATATTAAATATTTTAAATAAATAACTATAGGAACAAATGGATGTCCAATTGAGCTAGTAATAAATAAAAAGTTACAGAAGAAAGACGAAAGTTGAGAATATTGGGCTTTAAAATAAGGTGATAAAAAAGGTGAGGGCAATACAAATAAGGTTATTTGTTGGCTAACACAAGAATATCGTGACTTGTTTAAAAAAAAGTAAAATTTTATTCGTGTCTCGTCGTTAAAATCTGAAATATTGTGACAAAATATTTGGAGTCAAATATTAGATATTTCAAATAAAATATTTATCTTATAAAATAAGGATAAAATCTTCATATGCTCTATTTTTTTCATATTTTAGTCGAATGTGAAGTTATTACTATCAAAGAGAAGTGGTCAGTAAAATCTTCATGTAAGCATTAAGTGAAAGTAACAACGTGATGGTATAATCTTTTCTCAATCGAAAGGTATTGAACATCTGACAAAAACAAGCACCATATGATATATAGCAATGTATAAGAGGGCATGATGTGGAGAAGATGAAGGTCTTTATTGAATTTTGTTGTTATTTATACGTACTAATATGAAGTAGTAAATAGGGGTACATGAATGGTCCTCTACCCTTCCTGCACTACCCTTCATTTTCGAAACGTCACCATTCTAAAGATAGTTAAGAAGAAATTAATGAGATTAATTAAGAATCAAGATTAATGAGAATTATTTTTAAAAATATTTAAGAAAAACATATAAATGATATAATTAAAGAGGTTGAAAAAGATTGTTGGGCTGATTTATTTTGAAAAGAAGCAAATGCAAAAAAGAACAAAAGTTGATTTATTCTTATCGCTAGAGGCTTTTCATATTCTTTTTTCTGCGTAAATAAGAAATTTTTGAGGTTGGAACAATAATAACTATTCCATTAGTCTCAATATGGTGAATAAGTAAATAATAAATTTGTCTATGAATAAAAAAGGTTTTAATTATAAATTTATAAGAGTAGAATTAGAAAGGTGTGATGATGGTAAGCAAATAAGCAATCCCATTCATGTCCATCAAATAATACTAATATTGAATACATATTACATGTCAATCAAATTTAAGTTACTACCAACAATATAATAAAATTCAAGCCAAATTAATATACTCTAAAAAATGTCAAAATTAAGAATAAAGAAGAGAAAGAAATTAAAACATAATTTTTTTTGTGATTTTATTTCTTCCTTTAGCTTCCTATCAAGAATTAGTAGCTTACAACACCACTTTAATAAAATAGATCACTTATGTGCGTAATATACAATACACTCGCAGATCATACAAAATTGAATAAGATAATCTATATAGACAACTAACACTCCACCATATATATATAGAGAGATAATAAAACCAAAAAATATATAAATCATAGACTACTATTAGGCCTAAGAGGAAAATTGCAAGACTGAAAAATTGTAGTGACAGATGAATGAAAAAATTGAGGAGATACATTTATACGTACTAATATAATTATTCACTTTAATTGGGAATTAAAATAATTAGCACATGAACATGAAATAATATGGGGGAGGGTAGAGTGTCTTTACCTTACTTTTGGAGGTAGAGATGTTGTTTTCTATAGATCTTCTACTCAAGAAAAAATATAAAAAAAGTAGCGAAAGAAAAATATATCCAAAAAAAAATAGCGAAATTAAAGAAATCATAACAAAATAATATAAAAAGCTTGATAAAATATTCTAGAGTAAAGAAACAATAAAGATAGCAAAATATATAATACAATAATCAAAGTATAAAGAATAATAAATATTATCATAAGATATGTTAAAAAATGTAACTAAGTTAGCCGGTATGAAAAATTCTCAAAAGAATCTGCACACAATATCATATTCTAAAAGAAATAACTAAATGGTGGTTGGGATACATGAAATGAAAAATGAAAAAAAATTGGTAATGAAGACCCAACACCTCAGTTTGTATTTGTAGGAGAACAGTAAATGTGTATTTATGGGAATATGAAAAACGTAGGATGTGAAAGTCTGAAAGATCAGTAACCGAATATTTACACATATTCATTGTTCATTTAATTGAATAATAATAATGATTGTGCCTTCAAATTATAAAGGAGAAAATTTGAAAGATAAATAAAAAATTCAAAAAAACCACAAAAAAGATAAATAGTTTTCTAGCCCTTAGAGGCATGCCACACAAGCAAGTCTAACATTCTCCTTTATATATATATATGATTCTATTTACTAACTAGACTATAAAAATGTTAGCAAAGCTTCTAAAAAAAGTCCTTCTAACCTAGCAATTTTATGTTAAAAAAATGAGCACCCATCACCTTCAAATTATGGATCCTCCATTGAGTACCCCTCAAATCCAACTGGTAGATTGTGAGTTCGAGTCACCGAGAAAGCAAAAAAGTGAAAGCTCTTGCAGGAGAGGTATAAAAAATAAATAAAAAAAGTATAAAATAACACTAAATAGAGTAAATTAATAATGCTTGTGATAGTTACAAATATCACAAAAGAAATCGATACAAAAAAAAACTTCAAATAACTAACATAGATAATCCTGATTAAACTAGAATTTACATTGAATTCGAACCAATATAAAGCTTCGTGTGTCAATTTCAATTCGCGCAATTAACATTATGTGATTTACATCTTTCTGCTTATTGGTCGACTAATAAAATGTACACTACACAAAAAAGAGAGTAAATTATCAAATTCAATGTGACATGATAAAACATAATATTGGAGAAGAATATGAGCTCTGAGTTTAATAATATGTTCGGCTAAATTTCTAAAATCAGTTTATTTGAAAAGTATTTTTGCTGCAACAATTTATGTTTAACCAATAAATAAAAAGCATTTTTGAGTAGCAATTAGTGTTTGATCAAGCTTTCTAAACGTGTTTTTTAGTGTATTTTTTTCAAAAGTAATTTTAGGAAAAATAACTATTTTTTAGCTTTTAAAAAGCTATTTTCCATAAACATTTATTTTCTCCCAAAAGCTTGATCAAATACCTCATTTTTTAAAAATAAACAATTTTTAGAAAAGAAAAAAACACTTTTGAGCAAAAATAAGCTGGATCAATCATGCTATAAATATATCATTTATTTTAGTTTAAATAAAAATAGAAATTCCTTTGGTATAAAGCCAAGCAATAATATGCTAAAGTAAGCAAGTGAATAAGAATCCTATAACACAATCAATTCAAATTTGGGAATTCAATTACAAAATCTTCATAAAAAAAAAGAAACCTAGAATATTCCAGTTCATAAATATTTAACTAAAAAAATTCCTTTTTTATCTTTGTCCTCTATATTCTACTAACTAATGACAATACCATAAGAAACCATAAGCAAAATGAATTATAAATATTATGAATGTGACAAGAGTGTTCAAACAGAAACAAAACAAACATATTAGAAATGGCATTTTCTTTTAACAAAGTTTTATTATTAACATTTCTAGTTCTACAAGGCATGTGCGATGCTAATGGTAGTAACAAATATTCAATTTCTTTTATTTGTTCAAAGGCACCTAACCCTTCTTTATGCCTACAAGCCTATAACTCCGATCCGCGTTCCCAGAACGTGGATCTGAGTGGTTTATGTCAAATTGCAATAGACTTTTCAGAGAAAAGTGCAAGGCAAACGTTGAATTTGGTTAATCAACTTCTACAAAATGCCAAAGGGGTTTACGGGAATAGATTACAAACTTGCGCGTTCCACTATTTGAACTGCGCGAATTTGTTCAACCAAACTGGGAAAATTTTGCAATCGGGAGACTTTCAAAAGACCATGGATGGTGTAAATGGAGCATTGGCGGAAAGTGCTAATTGTGATGCGGGTTTTATAAAGTCGCCACTTAAGGAACCAAACGAACTTCGACAGTCTAGCGTGTTAGTGCAACAATTGGGTGCTGTTGCCGTGCTTACTGCTACATGGCTAATTAAATAGAGACGATTATGTTGATGAAAAATCTTTTAGATTGTTGCTATTGATGTCCATTTGTTAGTATGAATTTAAATGCTTGATAATCTGTTCTTGGGTTCAATCATATTCCTAATAAAATGAAAATTCAAACAACTAGAACAATGTAACCCCTCCCCCTTGTGGCACTCCTTGCTCGCCGAGTGGCATATCGAAAAAAAAAATGTGACTACCTTACTTGAGCAATATTTAAAGATTCCTGATTTTAATATCATACTAATTCTGAACAAATGTATGATCACTAAGTAGCTAATAATCAATACAACTATTTTTAAAATATTGATAAATAATTTTAGAGTAAGTGTGCAATAACTTATATATACGAAATTTGGACAGAATACACAAGTGAAAGAATGAAACTTTTTGGCTACTTATATATACAAAACAAAAAGGCCACATTGTGCTACTTTTTTTGGCTTTTAGTAAAGAATATTGGAGAAGTGTCTAACAACAATAATGTAATTTGGTATAGCAGATGGTGTATTTCATGGGCCCGGCCTTCACAAAGCCTATAATTGCAAATTGATAATGTTAGTAAAATTCATGTTCTATGGACTCGAAGAGTTGTGCTTTCATCAGAAAGGTGATATTATCAACCGCGTTCACCATCTCTTGTCTACGGAACTAGTTGGTCTCTATCACCCATATTTATAGGGAGGCTAATTCTGATTTAATCAATTTGGCTTTAATCAAGAATCTTGCTTTACACGTGTCTTCTAGGATTTTTTTCATGTGTAGGAGATGTTGTTGGGGTTTCATTCCCTTGTTTAGTTTCAGACCGATTACTTAATGTTTTAGTGCTCTTTAAAAATATATTTGTCATGAATTTTTTTTTAAAAAAAAAATCAAAACTTGAGGAGGGAAAGTACCAGAATAATTTTTTTAATACATGTTTTATCATTACGTTATTTATGCATCTTTATCTTTAACCATAAAACAATTATTACACTAGTCAGTTGGAAGTTTGTCTCCCTACTTCGATTTGTAAGGGTCAAACTAGCTTTGTTCCTAGATACCAAATTGTGGATAATATTATCATTATTGAGGATTGGGATTTTATTTATACTATACCAGTCGCTTGTTGTTTTGGTTCTCTTTAAAAAAAAACACAACTGTGTTATGTCTTTATCCCTCAACTCACTAGTCTTATAAATTTAGCCAAAAAAAAATTAACCTAAGGAGGGAAAGTCAGTAAAATAATTTCTCTTAATATCAATGTCATCATTACATTATTTATTGTACGTTATCCTAAAAAAAATTATGACCCGTAAATTAAATGAATGAATATCAATTTTTCATCTTTTAACCGTGAATATAATATAATACTACATCCAAATCCAAAAGCAACGTCAGCATGAATCGTTATCCAATTCACCTTTATCCCATATATATACTCTTTATAATACCTCAATTTTCAAAATTCACAACTGTAGATAAATATCCTGTATATATTCAATATGAAGTTTTTATCGGAATTAAGGACGTGCTATGGCGGTGCAACCATCAAGACGGTGATGGATGGGCTACCGCCGGTGGAGAAAAAGGAGTCGGAGCAAGTAAATCGATCGGGGAATAAACGCGTGGTTTCTCGGGGAAGGAAATTAAGGAAAACGGAGAATTGGAAACCGGCGCTCCACGTCATCTCCGAGGACAAAGCGATCGCCGACGTTGATCGGTACAGTTGCGATAAAACTACGGTTGGAAATTCCGGGAATAAAAGAGCGTTAAAAGATGACGGTAGATCTGGTAGAGCACGGAAGAGGTTCGGCGATGGTTACTGGTAACACTGCTTCACTTTTCTTTTTTTCAGTTTTCTGACGTTTTTGAACCAAATTATTGACGGACAGATTATTTCTAAACTAAACTGTTAATGGAGAATATTTTTGTTCAATTTTCACATAATTCAAATACATTGATCCTTTTCCGTTATTATTATTATTATACTATTTTTAGTAGTGAGATTTATTTTTTCTTTGAATATGCAGGAAAATGTCGTACGCCGTTGCGATGCCTGCTTTCTCAGGAATGCTTTTTTAGTGTTGAGCTGTGTTTGTCTTGTCCTTGTAAATAATTAGATTTTAGATTTTTGTTCACCTCTATGGAAATTTAACAAAAGCAAAAATATATGCCTTTTAATTTCTTTGTATATATATTGTAAATAAAAAAAATGATGTTCAAGTTAATTGATATTTGGTTTTGTAATTTTATACAAATTTATTTTTGATTTTATATCCTTTTGATAAAACATCTCTGTTTTATACCTAAAAAAAAATGAAAAGGTTAAGTGTATTTTATTTTCTCTCCATTTTGTAGCTTGTGTTTATCTTATGGTGCAATTTCTTTTTCAACTGCAATTAACTTCATTATTATCGATTGAACAATTTCGTAATTGAATATTGAACTCTTTGAACGCGAAATACATTAGTTAAATTTATTAATGTTGGCTTGAAGGTGAGTAGAGTGTGTTGTCTCCTGGATTAGGGAGTATTTCAATTTGGGCATAATCGATTATTCATAACTTGAATTTTATTGTTGCATAGTAAAATTTCAGTTTGAGCTTATCATTTTTACATTTTTTTTGGGATTCATATTTTAGCAATTCTCTCTTCTTCACTCACTTGTTGCTTGCTGGCAACAACTCAAATGATCAATCTCTATTACTCTAGAATGTTCTTTCAAGTACTTAAGGCGAGCCCAAGGCTGATTTTTAAAGTAAAAAAAATGACAACACTCTCAAGATTCAAACTCAATACATTGAGCTCTAATGTTCAGCATATTATCTTTTTATAGACTATCTATACAAAAAATTTAAAAGGTGTCGGGTGCATGTGGGTCCGCTCTTGTTTAGTATCATCCTAATGTCCAGACACTTGGCGAATCTCTCTTTCACCATCGACTTTCTCTAATTATTACTCTTTGAAACTTCTTCAAGGATAGTAGAATCTTTGATATTGATGACCTTTATTAATGTTATATATATTTGTATACTTGATGTTTAGATGTTTCAGGTTGACCTTTTTAGTCTCGATTGTGGTGCTTCTTGAACTTCTTCTTGCAACATATCCGATCGTTCCACAAGCTTCAATTTTTCATAAGCTCTTCTTTTTCTTTTTGGAGATACCTCTTGGTTAGATTTGATCTTAATCTTCTTAGGCTCGAATTTGTTGGGAAAGGCAAGACACTAACAAGAATGTCAGACAGGATAGCAGCGGAATAATATCTAAATCTAAACTTTCCCTTTTAATTTGAACCAAGAGAAGACAAACCAAATCAAGCAATATAAAAAATGGATAGCAATTATATCAACCAAACTAAGATAACAAGATAAGAATAAGCCAATCACATAAGACACAACGATTTACGTGGAAAATCCTTCGATGTGAGGAGTAAAAAATCACAGGACCAAAAGCTCCACTACAAACACCAAAAGTTACAAAATTGTTCTCCAAAATTGGCCACAAAACAAGCGCCAAACAACGAGCATCAACAAATCAAGATTGCACTAAAACTAGAGAATTGAAGAAGAGATTTCACCCCAAAACGCGTTACTGTTCACGCCCTCAAATCAGAAGCTACAAACTTCCAAATCCAATCTTCACCGTTGAATTGCAAGAACCAGATGGGGAGAACTCCCAGTTTAAATTTGAGCACGATCCAACGGTTAACGAAGCAGCAAACTCTGTCTGAAGCGGACTACTTGAGCAGAAAACTACCAGAAGCAAAAACGAGATTTTTCTCTTTTTCTCTCAATCTCTAAAACGAATCTCTCTTGATTTTTCTCTCTCGTGTTTCTGAAAATAAGACCAAATAAGTCTTATATATGCCATATAATAATAGGGTTATGGGCTAACGTGGGCTGATCCTTATAAGACTTTTATTTATGCACATAGGAAGGGAAAAAAAGATCCTAAACCCAACACGAATGTGGTGCTTTTTGAACTTCTTGCAACACATCTTAGTTTCACAAGCTTCAATTTTTCATAAGCTCTTCTTTTTCTTTTTTGGAGATATTTCCTGATTAGATTCTATCTTATTCTACTTTATTAAACTTATCTTGCAACTATTACGCAAAAGCTATTCATAAATATGATAAGAAGACTTATTTTGACCACTATGTTACCATTTCCTCAAATATCATATTTCTTGATACATATATCTGATTCATGGTATGGTTACAATACTTTCATCCTTTTTTCTTTGTTCATCATAACAAAAAAATCAATTAATTAATTTATCAAACTTATTGCAAAGATGATATGACATGAACACACAACACACACAACCTAATACTCAAAAATGACTTATGATAGGTATTGTCAATTATGTGGATAACAACCTCTATGAATTTTGTCCAAAACCTTCTTGTTACATTCATACTAAGGCAACATACTTTTTCATCTTTCCCGAGGTGTTTATTTTTTCTTTCAGCTATTTCATTTAATTATTTGAACAAGTCAATCGTCCCCTTATATTCTCTTTAAGATAGTCATTAAACTCATGATGAGAGGTGTATTTTTCCCTCATTGTCCACAAAGAGATATTTGATTCTCCGCCCAATATCAGTCTCCACAAAATGTTGAAACTCTTTAAATTTCTCAAATAATTCAGACTTCTTCTTTAAGAAGTAAATGCATATGTACCTTGGGAAGTCATTAATGAATGTTATCATGTAATAATAACCACAAATGGAGGACCGCTTCACTGCTCTAGACACTTTTGAGTGCACCAACGCCAATTGCTCTGGCTTGGTACTTTGATCATCCATAGAAAAGTTGATGTGTTTCTTCATTCTTGCATCCAACACATATAGTGTCTCCTCTAGTTTCAAGGTGGGGATGACCTAATTTTGAATGTTGCAACGTGTTTTTACTCTATTGTAGTTCGCGTGCCCAAAACATGCATGACATAAATCAATTATTTAATTACTTGGAGTTTTCTTCACATAAGTTGTCTCGGCTAACATGAAATAAATTGACTCTTAATATTCTTCACTCGAGTTGGTTGTATAGTTAATTTAATTAGTGAGGCATCAGGCATGTAGTGCATATCACCCTACAATGTCAATAACCTCCTTTTGTACTTCTAGAATAGGGCTTTCGGGGCCATCTACTCAAAATAATTTATTTTAATTAATGCAACTTATTTTTTTGGCATAACACATAAATATGACCCTTAACTTTGCTTCAACGAACAACTATGCCCTCCAACTTTGAGTATGCACAAGTAGGCTTTTAAACTTGTATAAAATTGAACAAGTAGACACACGTATCCTACATGGCATAATACACGTAGGACGTCACGTAGGACACAAAATTGCCATGTAGGGTGCCATGTAGGATGAATATGTCTATTTGTTCAATTTTATACAAGTTTAAGTGTCTACTTGTGCACACCCAAAGTTAAATGTCATAGTTATCAGCTGACGTCAAGTTAAGGGTCATGTTTATGTATTATGCGTATTTTTTTCTTCAATCACACTAGCAACTTTGTTTAGTGCCTCACTTGACCAATAACCAATAAGCAATGGGAAAATAACCCATAGAGGGATGTGGTGATACAACCAAAGTCGAAATCAAAATTAATCTCTCATATTTCTTCAATATATACGAATGACTTAAAAGTGTAGGGACTATATAGCTATTTTTGTGGGAAACATGTTCGAAGGTACGTGGATGTGTATATGACTCATGAGTTATATGTGTTATTTCCTCTATTCAGATTAGTAAACAAAAAATAATAAAAGATGAAAAGAAAAAGCAAAGAACTATTTGAGTCCACAGAACCCACTATGAATCCTTACACAATTTAATCCCCTCAAGTACCCGAGATTGCAGATTAATTCCTCTCAAGATAAAACGGATTAACCATTAAAGAAGTAGTGGTACTTCAAACTTTGATAATTTCAATGAACTCAAAATGACAGCAACAAATCACACACACAGACACGATCGATCGATTTTATTTTGTAAGAAATGTATACAAAAGAAGGGAAGAATTCAATGCTGAAAAATGAGAGAAAGTATAGCCAACAAAGGGTAAAGGTCACAACTTTTTGGAAAAAAAGACAACATTTCAGAAAGGTCACAGCCCTTTGGAAAAGACACAACCTTTCAAACGGTCACAACCCTTTAGAAAAGACACAACCTTTCATAAAAGTCACAACTCTTCGAGGCTAAGAAAATTTACTAATTAGTAGATAGCTACGAAAGTCAAATTTTTGTGGCTATTATGAGGTAACTGCTACTAATTTTATATTCATAGCTTAAATTTCGTAGCTATAGATACATTTTGTTGTAGTGACAGACACGATTGATCGATTTTATTTTGTAAGAAATGTATGCAAAGAAGGGAAAAATTCAGTGCAGAAAGATGAGAGAAAACCTATCTATTTATAGCCAACCAAGGATAAATGTCACAACTCTTTGGAAAAAAGACAACCTTTCAAAAAGGTCACAACACTTTGAAAAAAGTCACAACCTTTCAAACGGTCACAACCCTTTAGAAAAGACATAACCTTTCATAAAGGTCACAACGCTTCAGCATAGTCACAACCCTTCATATCATGTTCACACCTTTAAAACCCAACAATCCCCCACATGAATAGGAAATGACTATTGTTAAAACATATGCATGAAAAACTTTGTGATTCGTAAGTAAGGATTGATTGCATCTGGATAAGTGGATTTCCCTTTGAACTTTCCATAGTGAACATATATCGGATATATTGGGTCAATCGGTAGATTTAATATCTTTGAATCGTCAAGCTTTGGTGTATACGTAGACAACATAAGTCACGTAATCAACCCTTCAATTGTTTTTGGTTCTCATTGTTTTATTCGTTTCAGCCATGAACACGTCTGAGTTTATAAGTGCGTAGAGAACTGGCCTTACCGGATTCTCCTTGAAATGGCTTACACTTTACACTTACATAGGTGATTTCTAAATGTGTTATCTCGTAGATACACTATTTGATATACCCTATATCAAATTTAGAAATCATTAAAAAGTCTTAATGCCTTTATCTTTGTTACTAAATATTGTCTTATCATGAGAATGGACCATAAAAAAATATTTTGACAATGTTGAACCGTCATCAATGACTTTGTTTGATCTCCTTGAACCTAGATCTTGGGATCTCCAGTCTTCTAGGAAAGTTACCGCCACAATGACTTTTCCTCGTCCATAGTCCCATTCCCTTTGATAATCTATCAACTCCCTCTCCAGTTAGG